TTTAGTAGCAATGGGGTTTCACCATATTGGCCCGGCTGGTTTCAAACTCCTGACCTCAAGTAATCCCCTGCCTCAGCCTCCCAAGGTGCTAGGATTATGGGCATGAGCCACCACACCCGGCCTCCACCTTGACTTCTAAGACAAATTTAAGGCTAATATTTTTTCCTTTCAAACTGAACTTTGAGCTATATTGGCTGGACACTTTCTGCAAGTCCTTCTAGGACTAACATCTGTGGCTGAAGCATGGAAAGACCGTTTCCTTTCATGCTCGCTCACATGTGTGCACTTGATCACAATAATCTAAACCATAGGAAACTGTTGTTCATGCCATCATTTTTGACAATGGGAAAAATAGGTAACAGATATTTGGATGTAATTCTTCTTTTAGACATTTTTTTAAAGCCAGTCTAGTATGAAAATTTATGCAAATTTGAATATAAAAAAGAGAAACAACATTTTAAAATTTTTTCTCTTTCATTCTGTGGAAATAATTTATTTTTTTTATCTGTCCATTTAAAACTGTATTAATAGCTTAAATCACAATGGGTATTGCACGGCTGGAGCCAAGCTTCTTTAGGCCCTCTGCCATGCCAGGCCAGGTGCCATGCCTCCAGGTACAAGACAATGGGGAGGTCCAAGGGGCCCAGGCAATGAAGAAGGGGTGGCACTGGTGGAGGTGCTCAGGACAGCTGTTGTTTACGGACCAGTAAGGGTACATTTCACTGTGAACAACTGGTACAATGGTACCAGCATGAACCACCTGAAGACCAGCTCTACACTCAGCAACTCAGTGTCAGAACAAAGAATGCTTTACAGAAATGAAAGTTGGAAAATACTTACGAAGCTAGTAATATCACTATAGAAGTCTTGATAGGCCACAGAATTTTTCTCTTCTGAGTTAAATGTTTCTGAAACTTCCACTGAAATCGTCCCAGGGAATACCTTTCCTGAAAGTTAAGCATAAGCTTTCTGTACTATTTAATGCAAAGAGGGTCATTTCCGTTTTGTTTTAAAACATGTTTTTTAGAATTCGCAGCATTGTATAATGACACTACAGGAAATCTGGAAATATTTTAAAAGTTACCCATAATCCCACCCAACCTAGCACAACTATTTTCATTTTGGTATATTTCTTTCCATTCACAGTTTACATTGTTGTAATTCCAAGTTTATGCCATATTTCTTTTTTTCTTATATGTAATGAGTATTTTCCAAATCGTTGCCTAGTCTTCATACCCATTCTTTCTTTGAGAGAGAGAGACAGGAATTGCTCTGTCACCCAGGCTAGAGTGCAGTGGCACAACTGGCTCACTGCTGACTCCAACTCCTGGGCTCGAGGGATCCTCCTGCCTCAGCCTCCTGATTAGCTGAGATGACAGGTATATGCCACCATACCCAGGCAATTTTTTAATTTTTGTAGAAATGGGAGTCTCAGTATGTTGACTAGTCTAGTCTCACATTCCTGGCCTCAAGTGATCCTCCTGCCTTCCTTGGCCTCCCAAAGTGCTGGGATTAAGGTGTGAGCTCTGGTGCCTGGTCTCATAACCATCATTTTAAAAGGTTGCATAATATTCTATGAAGTACATGTCCCCTTCCTTGATGTAATCATTTTGTTGTTGTTGGACTTAGTGCTTTTAATTATTTAAAAGGGGCCGGGCGCGGTGGCTCACGCCTCTAATCCTAGCACTTTGGGAGGCCGAGGTGGGTGGATCACCTGAGGTCAGGAGTTCAAGACCAACCTGGCCATCATGGTGAAACCCCATCTTTAAAAAAAAAAAAAATTATTTAAAAGGAAAATAAAAAGGTTGCAATGAACACCTTCACACACAAACTGTTCTTCTGTATTTGGGGTCACTTACTTAGAGTAAATCCCCAGAAGTGAGATTATTAATGCTAAAAATATAAGCATTTGGGGGGCTTTTGGTATATCCCTAACCCCTGTGGGCAATTCAGTGCATTCATTTCTTAGAGATTTGGCTGTTCTGGAAAATGAAGACATTTCTCGTTCATAAAACAGAAAAAAACAGAACTCAGATAGGCCTCAGACCTTCATTGCAACCTGGTGATCTAATCAAAACATCATTACACCACAGGTGTATAAATGTACTCCTGAAATCCATTTTTAGAGCTGAAGGGCTCTTATGTCTCTAAGAGGGGTGTCTGATGCTATGGAGCAAACAGATCCTGTGACACAGCTGAAGACCAGGCTCCTAGGGTTGCTGGACTGTGTGGTCTTAGATAGTTCACCTTCTTCTGCCTCATTGTCCCCAGGTAACAGCATTTTTCTCTGTTTTGTTCGCCTTTGTTGCCTCCACATGTTCTTGGGTTTTTTTTTTTTTTTTTTTTTTTTTTTTTTTTGAGATGGAGTCTCGCTCTGTCATCCAGGCTGTAGTGCGGTGGCATGATCTTGGCTCACTGCAATCTCTGCCTTCTGGGTTCAAGCAATTCTCTGCCTCAGCCTCCAGAGTAGCTGGGATTACAGATGCCGGCCACCACACCTAGCTATTTTTTGTATTTTTAGTAGAGACAGCAATTCACCATCTTGGCCAGGGTGGTCTTAAACTCATGACCTCATGATCCACTCGCCTTGGCCTCCCAAAGTGCTGGGATTACACGCGTGAGCCACCATGCCCAGCCTGCCTCCACATTTTCTTTCTCTCTCATATTCTGGAATCTCTTTTTTGCCATCATTTTGAGTTTTCAATTCCACTTGTGGTATGAGATACAGAGCTCAGCCATGGCTCATCCCTTGTAACTCACCTTTCTTACATGTAGAAGAGTTGTAGTAATACCCTTCTAAACACAGGCAAAAACGTGTATTATGCAGCCCAACACATAACGAATTATCTGCACAGGGATCATCTTGGCAAGGATTGCTGGGACCTTAGATGGAGTAGAAAGAGATTAGAAATCCAGAGAAATGACAATACATAACACCTGGAAATGTCTCTTTCCATCTTCATGCCTCCCTCCTGGGCCCTTGCCATTTCTTGGTTGTGTTATTCCATAGCACACTGTTGGAAAAGTTAAAAAACAAATGTTTTCTTGCTTAGGTCTCTATAGAGTTTGTTGCTGAAATTCTAGAGCCAAGTATAACACTTGTCAGTAGTAAAGATCAGAGATTAGTGGACACAAGGGCTTGCCCAGAGAAAGAGAGACTGCAGTCTTCTAACTTCAAGGAGTCAGGAATCTTCACGTCTCAAAGTCCCTCCAGAACTGTGAAGCATGGTCCTCTAACACTACGTAGCGCTCCCCAAAACATCCTAGATAAAGCCTTGTTTTTAGAAAGGTATGAATAATTGTCGTATAGGGAGGAACAGCCAAGAAGCTCCAAAAAGACACCAGATGTTATATTCTGGTAAGCATTCCTAGGAGACATAGCCATAAAACAGGAACGGGATAGTAAAGAAGAGAATGTGGATTAACTCAGTGAAAATCCTAAGAGGCCATGAGAAGACACTCCAGCCTCTGGCTTTCTGAGTGGGTGACTTAATAAATGGTGAAAATAACGCTGCAATGGGCTCTACACTGCCGGCGGAGATTCCCGGGCCAGGCAGGGTGCAGCATCTTTCTCTCTCCAGGGAACGGATGAGATCTGAGGAGGAGAGTTAGGTCAGTGATCCAATGACGATCTTGGCTGGCAGTTTTCTTCATCTCCGTCAAGTGGAATGATTCTGAGCTGTGATTTCAGAACAGCTTATGTGTTTGATAACCTTGAGAGCTGTCTGAAAGTCTTACAAACCTATATGTAGAAACCACCGATTTCTTTAAAAGCTGTATGTACGGTACGATGTGTATAACATGTTCTGTCTTGTGAATAAAAGAAGGAGAGGAATATACACAAACAAATATGTATGCTTATATTTGCATAGATAATTTCAGGGAGGACATTCAAGGAATTGGCCACAGAAGTTGCCTCTGAGGAAGGAAACTGGGGCTCTGGGTCCTAGGGGTTTAGGATAAGAGGGAGATTTATTTTTTTTCCATATGCTTTTGCCCTGTTTGAGCTGCTTTTTCCATGATCAAGGGCCCAATTTCCTTTTGTTAAAAAATGAAAAATAAAATAGTGCTGGTGAGAATATGAAGTAACAGGACCTCTCATCACTGCTTGGTGGGAATGCAAAATGGCACAGCCACTTCGAGGAGAAAGTTTGGTGGTTTCTTACAAAACTAAACATACTCTTACAAGAAGACCTGAGAGTCATCCTCCTTGGTATTTAACCAAAGGTGTGGGAAATTTATGTCCACACAAAAACCTGCATATCCATGTTAATATCAGCCTTTTTTCATGAGTGCCACAACTTGGAAGTAACCAATATATCATTCAATAGGTGAATGGATAAACAAACTGGTACATCTAGACAATGAAATATTATTCAGCACTAAAAAATGAGCTATCAAGCCATGAAAAGACATAGAGGAAGTGCATGCTGCTATGTAAAAGAAGCCAATCTCGAAAGGTTACCTTCTGTATGCTTCCAACTCTATGACGTTCTGGAAAAGGCAAAACTATGGAGACAGTAAAAAGATCTGTGGTTGCCAGGAGTTAGAGGGAAGAATGAAAAGTGCAAAGGATTCTTAGGGTTGTGATCCTATAAGAAGGGGTGCATGTCATTATACACTTATTCATCCAAATTCATAAAATGCACAGCACCAAGAGTGATCTCTAACGTAAACTATGGTCTGTTAAGTGATAATGCCGTGTCACCGGAGGTTTGTCAATTGTAATAAACACATCGCTTGGTGGGGGATGTTGATAATGTATGTGTCAGGTCAGGGAGTATATGCGAAACCTCTGTACCTTCATCTAAATCTTGCTGTGAGTCTAAAACTTCTCTAAAAATAAACTCCATTAACATTTTTTTGAGACAAGGTCTTGCTCTGTTGTCTAGCCTGGAATACAATGACATGATCTTGGCTGGCTGCAACCTCTGCCTCCTGGGCTCAAGTGATCCTCCCATTTCAGCCTTCTGAGTAGCTGGGACCACAGGTGCGTGCTATCACACCTGGTTAATTTTTGTATTTTTTTGTAAGATGGGGTTTTGTCATGTTTTCCAGGCTGGTCTTGAACTCCTAAGCTCAAGCAATTCACCCACCTCAGCCTCCTAAAGTGCTGGGATTACAGGCATGAGCCACTGTGCCTGGCTTCCATTAACATTTTTTTAAGGAGAAAAAAATAGACTATCTAGAATAAAAGGAGGCATAGTTCAGTATCTTATAAACAAAAATAAGGGTTACCCCTCTGACAAGGTATGAACCAGTTTTCTAAGTAAAATTAATGGCTTCTTTAAAAAAAAAAAAAAAAAGCCTCAGCCACCTTGCAAGGATGACTTGGGAAATCTTAGGGAAGAGACTGAATGTATCTCCTTCTGGAGACACCAGACAAATAACTCTCGGTGCTTTTTCTTTAGCAGTGAAGGACAGACTCGTTAGCTTGCTACGTGGCCAGGAATTGAAGAAGTCATAGGACATTACAGCCAGAAGAGATTTGGGTGGCTTTTTAGTTCAGTCCCGCCTTATTGCAGATGAGTAAGTTGAAGCCAAGAGAGAAATGCCTTGCCCCGTGCCCCACAGTTCATTCATGGTAGGGCCAGAACACAGGGAGATGGCCTGACTCCGAGGGGCCACCCAGCGAAGCAGAAATGGTGAAGCAGAAGTGGCTTAGAAAACCTCCCTTTTGGGATATCCCCTCCGGATTCCCCTCCCATGGCAGCATGGGAGCTGTCTCTCCCTCTCTCTTTCTTTCTCTCTGTGCCTAATAAATCATTCTCTGCAAAAAGAAAAAGAAAAAGAAAAGAAAAGAAAACCTCCCTTTCCTGATTCCAGGAGAGCTGCATCCCATTGGAGCCCACCTTCAGAGTGGCTCCTCCAAGCATGAAAGAAGATTGGAGAATGAGGTCTTAGATACAGACTCTGGGCTCTACTTGCTTAACCATCCATTTCTTAAATCTATCAAAGAACACTGAGGAAGCTACCAGAAGTTAAGGGTAGGGAGACATCCACTTGTTCTTTGACCCTGGGTGAGTCATGGCCCTCACTGGGTCCCAGATTTCCCATCTGAGAATGACAGGATTTACCTAGATTCTACAGGCTCGAAAATATGATGATTCTTCTAGATCAGGGCTGGTTCATGAGTCATATCTGACCAACCTTTTGTTTTTTGTAAATAAAATTTTATTGGAACACAACCAGGTTCATGTTAACTATGACTACTTTCATATTAAAATAGTAGTGTAGGAGTTACAACAGAGACCCTACATGGCCTACAGGGGCATTTAGCCCTTCTGATAAACTTGATTGATTTCTGTTACAGATTGAGCTTGGGGAAGTGAAGCAAATGGTTCCTGTTTCATTAACTTCTGCTTGAGGTCACTTGTCATCTCTTAGTGTTCCCAAAGCGTCCGTCCTTTGGACAGTGGCCCTGGTTATGCCTAGGACTGTTTGAACACTGCTATTGTTTTGCTTTCTATTCCTCAGGCTCAAATTCCATGACTTGGCTCAAATTCCACATTGTGATCAGCCACCATCTTACCTTAAGAGCAGAACTGACTTCTTCCTTCGATAGACCAGAGAGTTAGACCAGTGGGGCTGGACAGTCCATGCTTATTTGGACCTGGTCTTCTCAGAGAAGCTGAAACTATTTCTAAAAATCCCCTAGGGAGAAGAAAGCTATAGAGATACCTTTCACAAAGCCCGACTTTATAAAAAAAAAAACAAAAAAACAAAAAAATACTTCACAGCTAGCAAATAACTTGAGGTAAGATGGGAGGGAAGGAAAGGAGAACAGAAGGAAACTGAGGGTAATCTTTTAGGGCTATTGCCATCACTACATCATGACACAGATTGCAAGCTCACAGTTCATATCCAAGGAAACCCTGGACATCTTTAGACCCATTTGCCTACCCCACCAGAACACACCCACCTCCCTTCCTCCACAATGGTATACTCCCTCCTTGGGGAGAGAATCACCCTTACCTGTAGTGTTTAGGTTGCTGGTCTCCAGTGAAGTGGTGCTAGTGGAAGGCCCTGGTGATTGACTGTCTTTTGTGGAGGGGGACACTTCGTTGTTACTTTGTGTTTTAGAAGTGACCATTGTGGTGAATACATCACTTGTAGATGAAAAAACTATGTCAGAGGTACTTAGTAAATCTGTACTTGTGGTTGACTCACCGCCTGTAATACCAGGTGTAGGAATTGTGAAGGAACTATTTGTATCAATTATGGGGGAGGTAGATGAAAGAGCTGTTGAGGAAGAATGTGTAGTTGTTGTGCTAACAATTTCAGTGAAATCAGTTTCATTGGCATCAGTTGTAGCTACTCCAGGAAGAGCAGTTGCATTTTCTGTAGCTGATAAAGCAGTAGTTAAGTTGGCTTGGCTGGTGGCTGGAGGAACAAAGACACCAAGTTTGAGGAGACAATGCATCGAATAAGTAATGGCTGTTAATTAATTAGTATTAATACTAATTAGTATCTAACTCTTTTCTTTTCAGTAGAGATGGTGTTTCCCCATGTTGCTTAGACTGGTCGTGAACTCCTAGGCTCAAGCATCCACCCTCCTTGCCCTCCCAAAGTGCTGAGATTATAGGTATGAACTGCCATGCCCAGCCTCAACTCATTCTTTTCTGGAAGAAAATGAATATATATAACTACATTAAAAATTAAAATACATGGCTATTTCTAATCACAAAAAATCCCACCATAAATAAAATTAAAAATTAAACAGACAAAACTGGAAAAAATGTTATTGAAAAATATGACAAATGAGTTAATGTTTATTTATTTTAGAAATAAGGCCTTGGTCTGCCACCCAGGCTGCAGTACAATGGTGAGTGGTGTGACCATAGCTCACTGCAGCCTTGAGCTCCTAGACTCAAGCAATCCTCCCACCTCAACCTCCCAAATAGCTAGGACTACAGTTGTAACAGCTCCATGGCTGGCTAATTTTTTTTGTTTGTTTTAGAGATGGGGTCTCACTATGCTGGCCAGGCTGGTCTCTCTTTTTTTTTTTTTTTTTTTTGAGACGGAGTTTCACTCACGTTACCCAGGCTGGAGTGCAATGGCGCGATCTGGGCTCACCGCAACCTCCGCCTCCTGGGTTCAGTCAATTCTCCTGCCTCAGTCTCCTGAGGAGCTGGGATTACAGGCACGCACCACCATGCCCAGCTAATTTTTTGTATTTTTAGTAGAGACTGGGTTTCACCATGCTGACCAGGATGGTCTCGATCTCTTGACCTCGTGATCCACCCGCCTCGGCCTCCCAAAGTGCTGGGATTGCAGGCATGACCCACCAGGCCCGCAGAGGAGTTAATATTTGTTAAGTTGAGTACCAAGAAGTCATATTATTTATGCCTGTAGTTGTAGAACTGTCAATCTGGATTTAATATGCCTGACTGTCCTCAGTGAGGACAATTGAGAATGCCACAAGGTGGCGCTGTGACTACCCAGAAGTGGACTCCTTTCGTCTTCTCTGCACTTCAAGGCAACTGCCCCAATATTTCATTACCCGGTTAGATTGAGAGAGGGAAAGTTTGGGGTTGGATAACTTAAAAAATGATGAAATAAAAGTACCTCATTAAGTGCTTATTACACTTCTTCCAAAATTTTATTTATTTTTTATTTTAGTAGTGTTTTCTCATTCACAATTCTAGATACGTTAAGAGTAAGATGAATATATGATCTTTGCCCTCTGAGCTATGATGGGTATAAAAGTCACATTTTCACAACTTTTAGGAACCCCTGGACCATGGAGTAGTAAACTCTAGCGATCTAGTGATCGATTTTCTTTTCTTTTTTAAGAGCCATGGTCTTGCTCTGTCATGGATGCTGGAGTGCAGTGGTGCCATCACAGCTCACTGCAGCCTCAAGCTCCTGGGCTCAAGTGATCTTCTCACCTTGGCCTCTCAAAGTATTGGAATAACAGGTGTCAGCCACCTTGCCTGGCCCAGTAATACATTTTCTAGAAACTTTCATTGTTTCTAAGAACTCTGACCATGACAATAGGTTAAAAAAAAAAAAAAAAAAACTATTAAAAGAAAGTTTTAGTGAGGAAGCAATTTCTAAACCTTAGGGTACTAAGAACTGCTGAATATGCTTCCTGATTCCCCCATGGGTCTGTGAGCCCCCTGAGGGCAGAACCTGGCTCTTCACCTTCAACAGGGTTTGGTTGACATAGCCATTCAGAAGTGTTGAAGAGATCAGCAGTTACTCTTCCTGGGCAAGAAATACGTCACCAGCTGGCAATACTGATGGCTACTCTTCCTATTCCTGCTACTCAGAATAGTTCTCAACTATCAAGCGCTGGCCCTGTGCCCAACAGTACCTGTGAAATAGACATAAGTGCCCACATTTCACAGAAGAGCCCACCAATACTCAGAGGGGTTGAGGGATTTGCCCAGAGGCAATGCCAGGTCTGTGAGATGCCAATGTCCTAACTACCACTTGGTTAAAGATGTGGGGAAGGACATCCACTTAATGAAAAAGCCAAGACGTCCCCAAGGAGCAAACACAAGAAGAGCAAATAGAGAAAATTGGGGATCAGAATGAAAGCAGTGGAAGTAGAAGTGACCTCCATGATGCCTCTATCATTGGGGTAGCAGTGAGAGTGGCTGGGGGCCGGCCCTCACCCTGGAAAACTCTGGACAGAAGAAAAGGGCTTGGCAGACTGGGTGCAAACATCCCCAACCCCACCAGACCCTCGATTTCATGCTTTGGAAATGTTCATTCTCGGCCGATGCCAAAGAACCAACATGTTTCTGTAGATCTGCAAAAAACAAATTGGGATGTCTTAAGAGGTTTTCTGCAGGTCTTTGGAATTATGACAAGGAGTTTTGGACTTGGTAGCTTATTTTGGTTTTACATTTCTGTTTGCTAGGGAGATTACACTTCGGAATGCTCTATTAGTTTTAATAAAAGAGACACATTCCAAGCTGACAGCAATTCATTGCTGTGAATAGCTACAATAGGTTTTTTAACTAAAATATACTTGTGTGTGCCTATGTGTATACATGTGTTATATCTGAGGGTTGTACAGATTTCAGGGAAGACAGCTTAGAGCTGATATCCCAGGCTTAAATTATCTAGTAAAAATACCCAAGAGGAATTGTAAAATAACCAATTCTATTCAATGTATGGTTAGCAGAAATGTATGAAGGCATCTATGTAGTAAAACTAGCTTTAATCTTTTTATTTCCTTAGGTCCTAAAGCTTCTGAACAACACAAGGATAGCACAATGTCCACGGAGGTACAAATCATAGGTTTAAATGGCAAAATATATGCCCTGACCTGTTTTTTTCTGGGGAACACTCCATAACCACCACTCTTGTCCAGGGCACATCCATTAACTGCTTTATTCAAAGCTAGTTGAAAGTCACAATCAAACACCTTTCTCCCAGATCTAAATTCTTCATTATTGTGAGATATTGGTTCCCAAAGGCACCCATCAGATTCTGTGGAATAATGCAGCCTTAATCTCTCAGAGAAAGCAAAAACAACCTGGAAAGTTTTGCCTGTTAAAGGCACTTCAAATGTCACCGGCACATTTTTCATTTGTTTCAGTACATAGTTGTGCAGGGGTTCCTGTAGTCGAGGTGCTGTGCAAAGCATGGGGATGAGGAGGAACGTAAAGGTGTACAAGACACACTTCCTGCCCTTGGTTGCTCAGAATCTGAGACAGAACTTATTTTTGAAGTAGCGATTCTTTACACACACCTGCAAAATCCTTAACGTTAGATGAAAAAGCAACTTTAAAAAAAATTTTCAGACTGGGCACGGTGGCTCATGCCTGCAATCCTGGCACTTTGGGGGGCCAAGGTGGGTGGATCACCTGAGGTCAGGAGTTCAAGAACAGCCTGGCCAACATGGTTAAACCCGTCTCTACTAAAAATACAAAAATTACCTGGGCGTGGTGGTGGGTGCCTATAATCCCAGCCACTCAGAAAGCTGAGGCAGGAGAATCACTTGAACCTGGGAGGCAGAGGTTGCAGTGAGCTAAGATCATGACATTGCACTCCAGCCTGGATGACAAGAGCAAAGCTCCATTTCAAAACATAAAATAAAATTAAATAAATAAGTATTTTCTTTAAAACCAGATCTTAATAGCCACCAAAAACTGTCAATACTAATATATCTGGAGGTAGATGACTGGGAAGGCAGATTGGATGCCCAATTTTTATTTCATACACATCTGTATTGTTTGAATTTGTTACAATGGGTCTGCATTACTTGTATAACTTTTTTTAAACAAAGAAGATAAAATCAAAAACAAAGTTGGAAAATCACATCCAGGCTGGGTGCAGTGGATCATGCCTGTAATCCCAGCACTTTGGGAGACAAAGGCAGGTGGATCTCCTGAGGTCGGAGTTCGAGACCAGCCTGGCCAACATGGCAAAACCCTGTCTCTGCTAAAAATACAAAAATTAGCCAGGCATGGTGGCAGGTGCCTGTAATCCCAGCTACTTGGAAGGTTGAGGTAGCAGAATCGCTTGAACCCAGGAGGCAGAGGTTGCAGTGAGCTGAGGTCAGGCCATTGCACTCCAGCCTGGGAGATAAGAGCAAAACGCCATCTCAAAATTTAAAAAAAGAAAGAAAGAAAAGAAAATCAGATCCAAGTGCAGACATGACAAAAAGGGAAATCATGTATTAAGTCCCTACTATGTGCCAGGCAGTATCCCTGGTACGTCAGGTGCTTTGTCTCATTTAATCCTCTCAGTCACTCTTCAAGATAGGGATTTCCCCTCTAGTGTTACACAGGGAGACACTGAGGGTCAGAGATACCCCACAGCTAATAAGTGGTGGCATGCCATCTGAATCCCTGCTTGCGCCACCATTTGACCTTCCCCTTGGGCTCTCTGGGTCAAGAAACATCTCTACTCCCCTAAGGTACCTTAAGCCTCAATGATTCCTGATTCCCTTACCTCTCTATTAATCTCCTTGACCCCTCCCAGCCAACTTTCCCCTTTCTACCGCCCTTCTTTTCCATTTTTTAAAAGTCAAGCCTTTTTTAATAGTGGTTCCCGAAAGTCATACGAGCCTCACCAATTCTTCCTTGGTCCTGAAGGCTTGGACCTGGCATCTGCCCCCAGGGTTGGTTGGAGAGATCTGGTGAGCCCTCCACTCTCGTGCAGCTAGCCTTCTGCAACCTCCCTGCATTAAGAGCTTGAAACCAGCTCTCAAAAAACTCTAACCCTGATGTCACTCATTCCAGTTCTCTAAAAGGGCTTAATTTCTCTTCATATATTTGCCTTATCAAAGACTTTCTTCCTTGATGCAAGCAGCTTCTAGGTTTCAACTCATTGCACCTGGAGGACATCAAAATATTTTACCCCCAAATATAACTCCTTGATATACTGAGTATTTTTAAATCAAAAGCTCTTAGAGGTCAACAACACAGCAAAGACCGACCCATCAAGGAAGAACAATTGCTCCTGTTCCCCTCCCTGGTACGTCATTATTCACTGAAGGAAAGAAGACCAAGAAGCCGGCCACCCCTGAGCAGACCCTTCATCAAGATCAGGACTCTCTCCAAGGATCTTTAAATTCCAGAGCGTTACATACAAGTTTATTTTTGTTTCCAAATCCAATTATTCTCCCTAAAAATCACTTATTGCCCCTCAATGGAATCCCTCTTCTCCCCTCTCCCATAACTTGTTTTACCAAGATCAAAGCCCCCTTTCTTTCTGTAACCTCAAGATGGTGTATAAGCTTCCATATGTCATCAGGAAGTTGGGTGTTCATGCTGAAGGCTTCTGGGTACACACATTAAATACATCTGTATGCCTTTTTTCCTATTAATCCATCAGGCCAGTGATTTTTCAGCAAAATTTTAGGGGCCAATCAGCCCCCACAACCCTTACCTCTCAATATACTGATGGCCTCGCCCACATGTGGCTCATAGAACCTTTCCTAACTCAGAACAGGGAGTACAGGTCTGATGCCTAATCAACATGACAATTACTCCCTATGGCTTAGCATTCTCAAATTCAAGTCCATTTGTGAAAGGAGGCTTTTTCCTGTGGTCAGCTCTCTGAGCATCGTGAGAGAGGCTCCAAAACGCTAGTAGAGAACTGGGTCCTTGGAACCTACTTAGTCCTTCTTATCTGACCTCAGAAACTCTCAAAGACAAACCTCTGGTTTGCTGAGCCCCCAAATCTTACTCCATAGACCACTGCCCCCCGCTTCCCCACAACATGAAGTTTCGCTCTTTTGACCAGGCTGGAGTGCAGTGGCACCATCTCAGCTCATTGCAACCTCCACCCACTGGGTTCAAGTAATTCTTCCTGCCTCAACCTCCTGAGTAGCTAGGACTACAGGCACCCACCACCATGTCCGGCTAATTTTTTACATTTTCAGTAGAGACGGGGTTTCGCCATGTTGGGCAGAGTGGTTTCAAACCTCTGACCTCAAGAGATCTGCCCTCCTCATCCTCCCAAAGTGCTGGGATTAAAGGAATGAGCCATCGCACCCAGTCCATAGACCACTTTTGCTATTGCTCTATCTTCATCCCAGGCTAAAATGCTCGTGTCTTTGAGCAGAGTTAGAGAGGAAACTTCACTTAGAAAACAGGCCGTGTGCTGGCCTGCTGATTTTATCTCAAAGATAACATACATGATTGGAAGAATTAAAATGTAAAAATATTCCTTACCTGAGTTTACAAAAAGGAGAGCAAGAAGAGTAAGATCAGTGACGGCCTTCATTTTAGCTGTTCTTGCTTGGTAATCCAAAGAGGAAATGATTTCCTTCCCCAGCTACCCTTAGTTTTAACTGTCAGGTACAAAGTCCAGTCATTAATTGACGTCAAACCAGAGAAAGGCAATTATAGTTAGCATTTGGCCATATACCATAGGGCTCTTCTGAGCTTTTGAGATAGAAGAGGTGCAACTGGCCTTATGAATCATTTTTCTGGCTCAAAGCTCAGAATAAGTCAGGACATTCCAAATATCCTTGTGAGGTCGGTGGTGCATAGGTTTGGTTAATCTCTTGATACCTCAAATGTCTCCAAGCTACCATCTTTTAGGAGACCAGCATTCCTTTAAACATTCAGTAACAGACTGTGCTCTACTCACCTGCATTTGAGTGCAGGAAACCCACTTTCCTCCGGCTATAGTTCTGAGAATCCCTGAAGAAGACTTACATGTCTCCCCAAACTATTAGTTGCTTAACTTTTGTCACTGTATGCTGGGGACCACCATCCCAGGACTCTCTGATGGTCACTTCTCAAACTCTGTAATCACATCTCCAAGCTTCTGTGACTGTACCTGGGAACAGCCCCTCAGTAAAGTTCCCATGTGAGAACATCACACCATGGCATTTAACCTAACTCTACTGAAGTCGTGTGGGTAACTGGTGTGTTGGGGAGTGGGCAATAAAGTACAGAAAAGAGAAAACAGAACAGCTGATTTGATCTCTCTGTTCCTGGCCACTCATTGGGCAGGTCCCCACTTCTCAGTTCCCTTTCTCACCCTCTAGTTCTTTAGCCCCTCATCTCTCACCATGTGTCAGGAGGCAGCTTTATTACTTGGATTTGGGTCTTTTTAATCCAGTTCTCCCTCCGTAATGTCGAGGGCCCCAACTCTACTGTGTTCAGCCCCAGCCAGAAGAATACAAACAATGACACCTTGTGAGTTGTGGCCAGAGTTTTGAGTTTAATTTTTCTTTCTTTCTGTTTTGCTTTGAGGCAGTCTCACTCTGTCACCCAGGCTAGAGTGCAGTGGTGTGATCCTGGCTCACTGCAACCGCTGCCTCCAGGGCTCAAGGGATCCTCCTGTCTCAGCCACCCATGTGGCTGGGATTACAGGCGTGCAATACCATGCCTGGCTGATTTTTGTATTTTTAGAATAGAAGGAGTTTTGTCATTTTGCCCAGGCCAGTCTTGAACTCCTAGGCTCAAGCAATCCACCCACCTCAGCTTCCCAAAGTGCTGTGATTACAAGCTTGTGCCACCAAGTCTGGCTTTTGGGTTTAAATTTTAACTCTGATCTTGATGAAAACAAAACGTCTTTGTATGATCGCCAGCAGGTAAGTTCCTTATTGTCCTAGAGTCTCCATTCAAGAATAAGATGGGGGTTTGTTCTTACATGGCTGAGAGGTCCATTGAAACACTTTTTCCAAAGCAAAGACACTTCTAAGGCCCATCATGTTGTGCTATTATTCTCTGCTTGAATAACTCCTGACACCAGGATTTAAACTTGTTTTTCTTTTCTTTGAAAACTAGCTTTATTAGCTATAATTTATGTCAAGAAACTGTATCTCTTTACAGTGCACAGTTAAATGAGTTTTGATTGATGTATATGCATGTGTAGCTACCATTACAACCAAGATATAGGACATTCCCAACACATTTAAGACTTTCCTCTTGTCCCTTTGTAGTGGTGCGTCCCCTACTGTCCACCCCAAACCCAGGCAACCACTGATCTGCTTTCTGTCTCTACAGATTAGTCTGTATTTTCTAGCATTTTATGTACATGGAATCATACAGATGTAGTATTTTGTTTTTTGGGGGCCAGTTTCTTTCACTTAACATAATCATACTGAGAATCATCCATGCTGTGTACATTCATAATTTGTTTCTTCTTATATCTGAACACTATTCTACTGTATCGATGTACCATGGCTCGTTTATCAATTCATCTGTCGATGGACATTTGGGTTGTTTCTAGTTTTGACTATTACAAATAAAAATATTATACATAAGGCTCAGCATGGTGCTCACACCTTAATCCCAGCACTTTCAGAGGCTAAGGCAGGCAGATCACCTGAGGTCAGGAGTTGGAGATCAGCCTGGTCAACATGGCAAAAACCCATCTCTACTAAAAATATAAAAATTAGCCAGATGTGGTGGCAGGCACCTGTAATCCCAGCTACTTGGGACGGTGAAGCCGGAGAATCCTTTGAACCCTGGAAGCGGAGTTTACAGTGAACCAAGATCATGCCACTGCACTCCAGCCTGGGCAACAGATTGGAACTCTGTCTCAAAAAAAAGTTATAAATATTCATGTACAAGTCTTTGTATGAACATAAACTTTCATTTCTTTAGGGTAAATATTTAGAATGGAATGGCTGCATCATATACTAGGTATAGTAGGTATGTAACGTTTTAATAAACAGTCAAATGGTTTTCCTAAATTGCTATGCCATTTTACATCAGCAATATGTGATAATTCCAGTTGTTCCCTATCTTGTCAACACTTAGTATTATCAGTCTTTATATTAGCTACCCTAAAGGGTATGCAGTAGCATCTCACTTTGGTTTTAATTTGCATCTCTTGATGACAAATGATGCTGAACATTTTTTATGTGCATATTAACCACTCATATCTCTTCTTTTATAAAGTACCTTTTCAAAAAATTTGCACATTGTAAAGTTTAATTGGTTTTCTTCTTGGATTTTAATGGTAAAAGTTCTTTATATATATATTGCAAATCTTTTCTCCTTTTCTGCCATTTTTATATGGCATTTTTAACCTACTATATTCACTTTTGTCTAGAAAAAATTGAAAAAGTGGCCTGGAGTCATATAAGTAGCTGCAAGATTTCAAATGCAGGGTCTCAAATCCTGTCTCCTAAACCGGGAGGAGCCTATCACACCCCATCATGCCTTAGGTTCAAGATATCGAGGGAATGGAGCCCACAGTGCTCTATCACCAATGTCTACTAATGCCACCATATTACAACAGTGTCAATATTTCCATGGCTCTCTATATGACTTCTCTGCTGAGCATAGAATGAAAAGTATAACCAGGAAGGCACGGAGGACTGCCACACATCTGGCTCCCTGACTCTTCCCTGGCCTTATCATCTGGAAAAATATGGGCGGCAAGAAAGTCAGGCAGTCCTCAAAGTATAAATCAGGAATCACTGTTATACCCCCTCCTAACTCAATCCACACTGGACTTCAGCACTGCAGGATGACAGAGACAATGTACACAGAGCTTTCATGAGGGGAACTGCTTTGTCCTTAGGGCTGATGTTTCCTCACATGTGGAGGGAGCTTAATTCCTGCCACACTCCTGGTGTCTTGGCACGTCTTTATTCATTTTGCCCTAGATGAAATGTAGTGAGTTATTTCAGAATAAACTGGGAATACTCACCTCAAATCCTGAATTTTCCAATTGGGGAGAGAACCTGGATTCAGGATTGTTGTACCCAGGAAGGTAAGGATCCAGTAGGAGGAAGCCCTAAGCCACATTCTCATAAGTAAGCTTCTATAAGAGTAATATTTTGTCTCCATCTATTGTACTCTTTGTTTTACTTCTCACACAACTCATAACCTGGATAGGAAAAGGGAGCAATATTTATTAGTATGAAATGGCTATATTCTAAATATTTATCTATAAATCAAGAACACAGACTCCATTTTCCCATAGAAACAAACATCAAGTCAGCTTAAAAAAAAAAAGGTGGTTTCCCCATAATTACCTGGTCACAAAAGAACTATCGTTCAGGGTGAGCTTTTCAATAATTTTATTGGCTATGAAGAGGATTGGGACATGCCCATTAATCTAAAGCAATATCCAGCTATTTAGGGATAAAGTAAACTCAAGAGAGCTATATCAGAGCCATTTAGAATTAGAATTTGATCCATCAAGAGCCCCTCCAGCCAGGTTAGGTGGCTCACACCTGTCATCCCAGCACTTTGGGAGGCTGAGCGGGGGAGGGTTGCTTGAGCCCAGGAATTTGAAAGCAGCCTAAGCAATATAGTGAGAATTTGTCTGTACAAAACAATTTAAAAATAATTATCTGAGCGTGGTGATGCATGCCAATAGTACCAGCTACTTGAGAGGCTGAAGCAGGAGGATCCCTTGAGCCCTGGAGGCAGAGGTTGTAGTAATCCGAGATTGCACTACTGCACCACAGCATGGGTGACAGAGTGAGACCCTGTCTCAAAAAAAAAAAAAAAAAAAAAAAAAAAAAAAAGCCCTTCTTTAGCTACGTTGATTCTGCAGCACTGTAGTACCATGATAAGGCTCTAGAAGATCATTAAAATATAAAATTTCTAACAAGTTTAGTTAGACCCAAAGATTTTTTTTCTGTCTATAGAACCAAACATAAATACATGTTAAGCTCCTATCTCCTTCTCACTAATTCCAGCCACTCAATAGAGGTGTGAGTATAGCCTTCCCAGAGTCACTACTACCATTTATCAATATCACATTTAGATACTACATGAAGCTGATCAGCATTTTCTTCTCTAATTCAGAAGACCACTCCCAGAGAAATGGCTTGTGGGAAGCAATACTCCCAACATAAATGTCTAATTGATGACACATTGACAGAACCATTTCCAACCTTGGCATTCATACCTACCGAAATTAACTTTTTAGTGAATGGTTACTTTACATGAGTAATGTGCAGGAGGTGGCTGTTCAATTGATCCCAGGTACTTGAGGCATCTCTACACATCAAGCAGGTATCGAAGATGAAGCAGTGAACAAGACAATGGCGGTCTCTGCTCTCCTGGAGCTTCTGTGAGCTGATGGGTAGTGGGACAAAAAAAAGTAATTAAAATGATTTTAGAGTGTTCAGCGCTCTGAAGAACATAAAACACAACAATGGGATAGTGACTTGTGACGTATGAGGTACTACTTTAAATAGGATGGTCAGCAAAATCTTCTTCAGCAGGAGCTGATATCTGAACTGAGAGCTACTATTTAAGAGAAGCCTGCCATATAAACATCAGAAAAAGAACATTCCAGGTAGAAGAGCAGTAACTGCAAAGGATCTGAGGCCAGAACAAGTCTGGTGTATTTGAAGAGCCTCATGAT